AATCGACTTTTGTCCAGGACTCTCCTCCAGCCCGGGCCGAAGCCCGCCGCCCCCACCGTAATCTACATTAGTGTTACATCTGTCATGTACTCCCCTGGGCCGCCGCCGAGCAGTAATCGTGATCCGGAATCATGAGCTGTAAAACGGAGGGCGAAACGACGCGCCGACACGGAGAGCGCGCGCAGGAGGCAATAGGACGGCGGCGGCGAAAAAAGGGGGAGAAAAACGCGCGACGCGCGGGAAATTTTAATTCTCTCGATGAGAGAGGTGGTATGGACCATCCCCAAAGCTGCCAAGCCCTGGTCCACCACGCGCCGGCGCATATGAAGGGGAGCAGCGCGCGCCGTCAAAATATAACGCCCCAATAAACAAGCTCTAGGCCTCCTCCTCTTCGTCCAGGATCACCGTCATCCCCTCCAAGCGGGCGCGCGCGGCGCCGACGGCGCCCAGCTTCGGCGGCCCGCGATACCTAAGTTACGGCCGGCACTGCCCATACCTGATATGAGACGCCCCCATAGTCCGCGCCGTCATCACGCCCCCTCCTGGACACGCCCGCCCCAGGGTCAGGTCGGGGCGCCCCGCCGCGCCTCCAGCGGTGCCCCGGGCCCGCCCCGGCGCCACGCGTGCGTCTCCAGGAGGCGGGCCGGCGGGGTGCAGCAGCACGCCCTCGGCCGCACCCCTCCCCGCTTAATATCCTGACCGCAGCGCGCGCGGGGCTTTGGCCGCCGAGCCGCAAGAGCATCGCGACGGAGGAGCTGGACTTGCAGTATTTACGAGCGCGGCGCCCCGCAGTGACGGCTGCATCGCCGTCGAGCCGACCAGTCATCCATCAAACGGCTTCTGATAACAGGCGGCGGCTGCTGCGGCTGCTGCGGCTGCTGCGGCGGCTGATCTGTTGCCATCATTGTTTTGACAGCGCAGACAGGACGAGGAGCCGGGGATGATCCGCCGTGCGTATTATCCTCTTTGGCCGGCGCGCGGGGCGCTCGCGCGACTTCCACCGACGCGAAGCGCCCCACGGAATTATATCATGCCGGACGGAAACTTTTTGTATTCAAAACTCCGCCTTCCCCCGCACCGCGCACCTCTCCTCTCCCTCCTCAGCGATTTTCCAGCCGGCCGGAGGGAAAAGATATGCGGTCCTTCTTTTTCGTTTTGTCCCTGCGCTGCGCTGCGTTGCCGTGCGCGCGGCCCGCGCGGCGGCCGGGGGGGATGGTGGCCATGGTGGCGGCCGGGGGCGAGGCCAGCAGCAGCAGCGCTCATCCGCCGCGCCGCCGAGCCTCTTAGATTTGATCCCCAGCGCCGCCCACGAATGTTTACGCTGACTGGCGCGGCGGGAGTAGTGGTCCTCCTGTGAGAGGTACGCAGAGCTAGCGGCTGGTGTTCCATGGGGGTGGAGGCCCCCTGTGCGAGACTAATGTATGGAAAATTGTACGCCACGCGGTTTCATTGGTGTCGCGTGGGAGTCGGGCCGGCCGGCTTCGGAGTGAATGGAGCAAGCTGTAGTGTATGGAGTTATTTTTAAGAAACAAAAATTATTGTGAGAGTAAAGACTGGTGAGTTGGATTGATATTATTTGTAATCTTAAATTTTGGCTCTCCCTGTGAAAAGTACATTTGATTCATTAAATTGCAGATCAAAAGCAGGAGCAATGGTTAAAGACTCGAGAGGTGGGGCGAGGTGCACATTCCCCCATTGTACAACTGTTGGTGGACGGGGTATTTCTCTGTACCGTTATCCGAAAGACCCAAATCTACGAGCCGTGTGGTTGCAACTAATTGGTAGACCGGATTATGTGCCGTACGATGGGGCACGCCTTTGCGAGGTGGGTTTGTTGAGCTTTGTTAGCGAAATGTTTAGGTTATGTTTGAGGCCATTCATTTTAATTTATGTATATTGTGTCCTTTTCCAGTTGCATTTCTCTCCATCTGTGAGAAGTCGTAGGGGGCTACTACCTGGAGCTGTACCCCTAACAGTAAGGCTGCCTGTACCTGATCCGGTTTGTTCCTGCAAAGTACGGTCCTTCTCTGCACCTTTACGTGACCACCCATATGCCTCTTTGAACAGTGAATCCTGCAAAGTACATGGTCATCTAGTTCGTGTTCGGATTGTATCCGAATTAGAAGACAATTGTAGTTTGCTGGAGGAGTTCCATAAGCTCAAGAGACTTCAAGCTCAGAATGTTAATGTTAAGCCTGTACCTAAAATTAAATTCTCATCTGCTGACATTAAGAAGGGCCTCCAGCTTTGGCTTGCCTGCGGAACTTCTGGTTACAAGAAGGTGATAGAGTTCCACAACACCAAGGAAACTCGCCTTCCTGCAATCAGGACTCTGCAGGCTGCCACTCAGCACCTTAAGTTTGCCCCTGGAATTTTGGAAGAGGTAATGGTACCACTTAAAGCAAAATTTCAGGGGTATACTAATGATAATGATAGGGATATAAATATTGTTTTTGACGAGTTTATGAACAAGAAGCAAATAGATTATGATCCCAGTTTGAAACGGATGTTTGGCTATTGTACTCTACCTGGACAGCAGCACATGCTAGCTGAGAAGACGGAACTTTATGTGTTCAGGTCTGTTCACCAAAGACTCAAACAAATAGTTGCTTATCAGCAGAATCCTAAAGAGTCAGCAGATGAGGCCAAAAAAGATTTTATTATTAAGTTACTAGAGAAAGCCCATGAGATAGGTGCTAATGTTATCTCTTTAGTCTGTGATATGGGGAACCGGGGGGTTTTATCTAAGTTAGGTTTTTGCACACAGATGGGTAAAGAGCGGTGGTGCATTCCCAATCCTGTGACTGGGGCGAAGCTATGGGTCAGCCCCGACCCAGTGCACATTTTCAAGTCAGTTAAGGAGGGCTTCACCAAGCAAGGGACCATCATAATACCCAAGAGAATTAAAGAGGAATTTGGCTTACCAAGTAGGGAGGTCAACCTCGACCACATTCTGTGGCTTGAAGCATTTCAGAGGGGTGATACTCTGCAACTAATGCCAGGCCTTACATTTAAAGACATAGTTACCTCACACTTTTCCAAAATGAATGTAAGGGCGGCCACCAAAATCTTTAACAGCAGACTGGCCGCAGTCCTTAAATACCTGTCTGTCAGAGGGATTGTCCCTAAAGAGTTCGAAACAACGGCCTGGTTCCTTAAATTGATGAACCGTTGGTTTCAACTTATGTGCTCCAGAAATTTACAGTTTGCTCTGGGGCACAGGAATGAGGCTGCTTATGAGGAGGCTATTGAGCACCTAGGACTAGTCATTTGTGTTTTCAGGCACAGTCAAATTCCTAGTGGGTGGAAACCATACCAATCTAACATTATTGTTGCAACTAAGGCCATGTTAGAAATTCAGCGGCACCTTTTAGATGAAAAAAAATACCAATTTATTCAAACTGCTGCTTTTTCCACAGATTGCAATGAGAATATAAATTCACAGGTCAGATTGTCATGTCCCAATCCGACTCCTTTAGAGGCCAAAAATAGAATTAAACAAATAACTATTTCACAGTTTTCAATGGATATTAAATCCTCGTCCTATAACTTTGATGGTTGTGAAGATTTTGTTGATATGCTTTTACGGCCTAACGAGCCAACTGAACCATCATTTGATCTTGACTTTGATTGGTCCACCATCAAATGGACAGACACTGTCCCAGTTAGTGCCGCCCATGAAAATGATGTATTGTACAGAATATCTGGATACATTATTATTACACTCATGAAGAAAAAACAATTAAAGTGTCAGTCCTGTGTGTCTGCATTAGAGCACCCTGATAAGGACCCTCATCCCAACTCTTTGCTTTTACATCTGATGGACTTTGTACCTGGGGCTCAGTTTGCTGTTATTGATGTCTTATTTCAAATGTTCAAGTTAATTGAATACAATTTACGAGAGTGGATTCCACAAATAAAGCATCTGGAGAGACTAGATTGTCTCATCCAATCAGTTGTGCAGCCAGGCACAGCTCACATACAACTGCCAACCTGTCATGATGTGAAAGAAAAGTTAGTTAAAACTTTCACTATTATGAGGTTTAGGCAGTTGGCTGTGACTGAGCTCTCACCCGAGGAGAAGAACACTGCAAGTTCTTTGGCTAGTAAAAGTACTGGTGGCCACTACCTTGCATCTAATTTTGGAACACCAGTTAAACGTACACCCTTTCCAAAACAAACAAGTTATACTCCATCTCCACTCACCACTCAACAGCAAAACCGACAAAATTATTCAACAGTCAATACTCCACAGCAGACCCAGCAAAACAAAGAAACGCCACTCAAAACTCCAAAACAAAACCTTCATTTGACACCTCCAGCTACTAATCACAGAGCATTGCCTTCACAACAGCAACTCAATGTCCCTCTTGGTGTGGCCTCATCCTCTACTCCGGTGCGCAAGCCACCAAATGTATTCCTTAAGCGTATCATTAATTTGCCTTAGTATTTTATGTTGTATGACTCTTTTCGTAGTGTTGTATTAAAGTCAAGATATTGTTCTATTTTAAGTCACGGTCTTGTGAGTTATATTGTTTGGCATTCCATATGCTACTCTGATAAATATTTTATGTGATATTATGATTTTATTTGCAAATTGTTGTTTTGTTAAGTTAGTATTAATAATGATCTCATAAAGGAACTCTGAAAGACTGTTAAAATATTTCTTTTTGCATTATTAATTAGTGATACGATTTGATTAGTATTGGCTCGTACCTGACTGCTACTGTTCCTTTAAGTATTATTTTTCTTAAGAATTGCTACCTGGTGTTGCACTACTTTGATTTTGACATGTTCCTATTTTACAAATGTTTGTTGGCTACAATGTTTACAGTGAAATGTTGTTGGATTGATGGGGATATTTTTAAATAAAATTTCAGAGTATGTGGAAAACAATTGTTTTATTTCCTTCTAAGGCTTCTCCTCACATTAAAAATGAAGTCCTGCATTCTCAATTTAAATCCTCGGTAGTATAGTGGTCAATATCGACAAGTTCAGTCTTTGAGACTACTTGTAGATTACTCACTCACACCCTGACCCTCACGGGACACACAATATATTGCACCAATAATTTATATCTTCAATAAAATAGTTATAATAAATAGTATATAAAAATTTATAGTAATAAAGTGGTCATTTTTGACACATCCAGCCTTAAAGGCTGTCTGTGCGTTTCACAGACATAGTAACAGTGTTTCGTGGGATATCTTTAACTTCTAATATGATTATTGCGACCTCTTCCTAAAGCACATTTCATCCCGTCAATTGGCTTTGATTTGATAAATGTTTCTCAATGGACATTATCCTCACACTCAAACCCACATTTATTTTATAAAACAGGTTCAAAGTGAGACAGTCAAAGACAGATGACACATATTGGCCCCTCACTACCTTACCTCCTAATGCATGTTGACTATTATTGTTCCTCAGTTATATATCTCCCCGTGTTTCACATCACATTACCGCATCAGAACTATTCCACCAAACCCAATTCGAGTTTCAGTTGCCTGATCTGTTCTCGGAGTACAATATTCTGCTGATGTGCCTCCAACCATATCTTTTCTCTCTTGATTTCACTAGTCTCTGAGAAGTATTTCACCCACAAACAGTTGTGATTCGCACGAAAGGTGCACTCTCCCTGACAACAGTCTCTTGATGGTTCCTTTTGTAGAATTGGACATTGCAAACGGGTATTTGGCTCTACCGTTTTATTTCTTCCTCGAATGAACTGTAAAATCAAAAACAAGACATATTTAAGATGATTTAGAAAATAGGAATTTGACATGGAGACCTTAACCTACTTTCGCATTGCAAACAAATGGTTTGTTATCGTTTAGAGGTCATTGCTGACCGTCCTTCATAGCAAAAACGTAAAATTAGAATTATGCAATATACTATTATTACACAAACTTACTTGTCGGATTTCTTGTCCCATATTCCTTGACAGTTTATAACTGCCAAACTTTAGTGACGCGCGGTGCGCGCCGTGTTTACCAGCCTTTGTCTCGAATGTGTCGGTGGCGCACGTCGACATTAACATTGCATTAGGGGGAACAATTTCTCATACCCCTAGCCTCGCGCATGGCGATTTCTGGAGCGGCGGCGCCCATGGAACACCAAAGCGCTGTGATTGGCTGCCGCTCGACTGCTCTGCGTACCTCTCACAGGAGGACCACTAGGCGGGAGCGGCGGGGCAAGGAATGGCGCACTTTCGTCTACTGCGCGCCACTCCCCCGCGCACCCAACGCGCACCACCTTCCCACCTTCCTCTCTCCCTCTCTCTCTCTCTCTCTCTTCCCCCTTCTCCCTTCTCCCCATTTCGCGGTCCGCCAGCGCCACGCAGAACGACGCCAAGTGGGACCATTTCGGTAATGGGAAAATGCCTCCTTCCGTCGATGACTAAACAAGCGGAACATCGCTGCGAGCGGAATTCACTTACGATTTCATTCCGCGAGGGGGGAGAGGGCGGCGCCGCGCGGGCAGCGAGAGAGGCGGGCGCAACCCCCGCGGGAGTACTGCTGGGTGGAGAGGGAGAGAGAAAGATAGAGCGAGAGAGCGAGAGAGAGAGAGGAGGGGGAGCGCGTGCTATGCCGCTAATCCCCCGGACCTCTCTGCACTTAGGCCCCAACCTGAACGACCGACCCCTCGGGCCCTAACGAGATGACCCGGGCGCGAGGACATCAGGCCAAGTGGATGGAACACCCACGTGCCGCCACAGGGAGCGAGCGAGCGAGAGGGAGCGAGAGAGAGAGACGAAGCGAGCGAGTGCGGAAAAGATAAAAGCGAAAGAGTAAGGGCTCCTCCTCTCTCCAATCTCTAACTCGCCCACACACTACTACACAGCAGCTCCGTAGTACCAGCTCTCTCCTACTCGCTACCGCTGGCTGCCGCGCGTTTCCGCGAAGGGACCTGCCGACCTGTGACGCCATATTGACGGCCGGCCATGCATCACGCGGGAGGTGACCAGCGGGACGTCCGCGCGTCCGCAGACAGGAAACAAACGACGTCCCAGGGCGGCCCCGCAGGTCCATCAGGCAGGTGGCGTGCGCTATCGCCCGCGCGCGCCCACACACACACCGCCCAACGACAAATAAAACGCGACAAACGTTCGCAGGCGGGGACGTTACAGAGGAGTACGCCCCGCTGTATGTGGAGGACGGTGCGGCACGACGTGGTTTAGCTTTTCCCCTCGTTCAGTCTCCCCTGCGGCCCGATGGCACGGCGGCAGCGGCGGCCTCCACTCCACCCTCCTGGAGCCCACCGAGCGAGAGCGAGCGGTGCTCAGCGAAATCATAACGCAAAACCCGCGCAGCAGGCGCCACCGTAGCGCCGCGTGGGAGTGGCAGGGGCGGGCCGGGGGGCCGGGGCCGTTCCAGATCAAGGGGTAGTGCCCGCCCCCCAGGCCAATCTCTCTCTCTCTCTCCCTCTCTCTCTCATTCTCTCTCAAGGGCCCTCGCCCCTGTTTGTTTGTGGACCCGGGCTGCAATCGACTGGGGGCCGAGCAAGCGCCGTATCGTCCGCCCTCAGACCGAAGTCCAGGCGAGGCGCCCCCACCCGCCCGCACCCTCTGCCCCGACCGCCCCCCGACAGTCCCACGGTGCCTCAAAGTACCGAGAGGATGCCTTCATGTTGCACGTCATATTACTTACTCGTCCCTTTGAGATGTATATATAATATAACGCCGAGGGTCTCGGCCCGCGCTCGCACGCCCGCCGCCCCGCGCACTGCGCGCCAGCCCCGCGCCAGCTCAGCAACAAATTGAATCGTTTTCTCTCCATCTTTCCCTCTTTCCTTTTTTTCGCGCGCGCGAAAGGAAAAGGGCGGGACGCGAGGAGGGAAAGGGGGACGTCGCCGCACTGCACCTCCTCGCGCCTCGGCTCAATACTGCTCATTTCAATGAGACAGTAACTCACTTGCCCCCTTCCCCTTCCCTCCCCCGCCGCGCCCCTCCGCGGACCCCCGCGCGGGGCGCCTTGGGCCTTTTTTTTTAAAAAATGGTTCAACTGATTTGCGAGCGGAATCCATCCCCCCCCCTCCCCCTCACTCCCCCGATGTCCACACCGAGCGCGACCCCTTTCCGCACACACCGGCACATAAGAGGTGCGGGAAGGAGGAAGCGATCGAAATTGAAAATCATCCACGGTAATCTCGTTATGCCGAGGGGAGGGAGGACGGCGGGGCGCAGAGCGGGGAGCGTGAGGGAATGCTATTTCCTCCGGCCGAGGGGGGGGGGGGTCCATACGGCGACCTGATCACCTTTGTGTGTATGTGTGCGGCCAAACGGCATACATTTTGGGGTGGGTGGAGGAGGCACCGGCCAACCCCCTCTGACATGTGCCTCTCCCAGAGAAAAAGAGAGGGGGGGGGGGGTGCGTTACGTGATATACGAACAGCAGATTAGAGGCACGCGATCAATCAGCTTATTTTATTTCCCGCGCGCGCGTCTTCCGGAAAAAAACTCGTCTCGCTCCCTCTCACTCTACCCC